GATGAATCTTACTTGAACCTTCTTCTGTCTCTGTTAACTCTCCATCTGTCTCCCTTTCTTGACATGCTGTATCTGAGACTGTTCCTGGTGCTTCCAGACCTCTCCCTGGCCTAACGAGGGGGACGAAGGCTTCCCTTCAGTGGGAATGTGTGTTCTGGGGAGGGATGAACTCGGGGGAGGCAGCAGAGGTGACTTCACTGAATTATTCATTTTCTGAAGGACTCAGGGAAAACTGATTATCCCCTTCTTCAGAACATCAGGGGAAGGAGTGCATGCAATGAAATTAGAGCACCTAATGGAGATCAGATGGAAGGCAGGGCTGCTCTGTGGGCTGCCAGGCAGGGTTCACTCCTGCAGGAGGCAGTTTCTCACAGTGGCTGAGCCCTGGGGAGGGCTGGATACCTTCCTGCAGCTCAGGATGTTCCATGTGGGAGAGGAGGCTGATCCCAGCTCGGGTGGCAGGCTGGGAGCAGGGGCAGGAGGGGATTTATCACCCCGGGCCAGCCCTGCTCCATGTGCCAGGGATGCTGTGGGTCTGTGCTCTCCCTGTGGGCTGGTGCTGAGAGTTTCCACAGGGGCTGGAGGCAGCTTGGGGGCTCTCCTGGGTTTTTCTGGGCTGTGTGATGTGGGGCTTTGGGTGACCCAATGCCATGGCTTTTCTTCCAGTGTCTGTGAGCCTTTGCAGTCATTTAGGTTGGATATTGGGAAAAGGTTCTTCCCTCAGAGGGTGGTTGGCACTGACCAGGCTCCCCAGGACAGTGGGCACAGCCCCAAGGCTGCCAGAGCTCAGGGAGTGCTTGGACAGCTCTCAGGAACATGGTGGGATTCCTGGGGAGTCCTGTGCCCATCCAGGGGTTAGACTCGATCCCTGTGGGTCCCTTCCAGCTCAGGATATTCTATGATCTGTTTTCTTTGCATAAGTTGATCTGTACAGCACAGCCATGGTATGGGCAAGGACAGCTTTCCCTCTCTCGTGTGTTTGTAGCGTCCCAAATACCTGATCCAGAGCCAGGTCAAAGTAGGCTGGAGAAATAGTGCTCAAAATACCACAAAAGACCTGCTCTGAGCAGGACTGGCCACTGTGTCAAGGCCAGGTTGGACAGGGCTCTGAGCAACCTGGGCTAGTGGAAGATGTCCATGGCAGAGTTGGAATGAGATGAGCTTTGAGGTCCTTTCCTACCCAGAGCACTCCAGGATTCTCTGATGCTGTGTGTCCTGGCAGTAGCAGCACAGGCAGGGGCTGCTGCTGTGCTACTCTCCAGGGCAGGCTCAGCAGTCTCAGGGGTCTGCAAATGAAATGCTGATCTGAGCCTTTCCTGGGCTTTGATATTCCCAGGAATGCTTATGCTTGTGTTGGGCTGGCTCTCTGGGTAGCCTGATGCCAGTATAAGGAGCTTAAAGCTTTGATAAAGGGCTTTCCTTGGGCAGAAGCAACTGGCCTGGGAAGGATTTTGTATTCTAAGAGCAAATCTTTGGGCATTGTTGTGTCTTTGGGCAAAGTGCCCGACTGTCTGAGGGGAGAAGGAGCCTGTGAGGTGAGAGGTGGCAGAGAAACACTTTGGAGTTTGTTTACATGTTGGGAAGAGGAGAAAGGGGAATGTTCTGCAGCAGGAAGGTGCCCGTGTGGGCTCTGGGCAGCAGCGGCCACGCTGCCCGTGGGAGCAGCAGCTGCTCGGCTGCCTCTGGCTGCTGCAGGAACAGGCAGCATCCTTCCAGAACATGCAGGCAGCCAACTGCTGCCAGCCCCAACTGCTGCCAGATAGAGCTGTAATTCTGCAGCCTGTCCCCTTGTGTTCAGGGGAACGGGCTGCTCTGGCCATTGGCAGCCCGGAGCTAGTGGATGCTCTGCTGAGCTGCCCCACTCACCCTCACTGCCTTGGCAGGTCCCTTCCCCAGGGTGTCCCATCCCCAGGAAGTCCCTTCCCATGCTGGAGGTACAGCCAGACATTTGCTTTGCAGACTTCAAACTCCTGGAACACATTTTGATGAGGTTTTTCTGATTGGCATGTTCTGGGATCAGTTTAGGAAATTGCTTTATGTTTTTCTGGAGGGTTTCTGAGCAGTGGTTTAAGCCAAGAAGCCTTTCAGCATGTATGTGTGTGTGTATATATTTTTTAAGCAATACTGTGTTAGCATTTTCTAGCATTTTCTCTTTTCAACTTCCACAATAAGATTATTTCCAGGGGTTTGAAAATGCCCTGTTGCTATTGCGATTTCTTAGCCCTCAAACCCAACCTTCCAGAAGACCTTTCTTCCCAGGACTATGTCAGGATCCCAGGGAATGGATGTGTGTGATTTGGCCCTGATACTTTGGTGCAAATCTCTTCAGATGTGACACTCTGTGCTGGGGCTGGTATGAAGAACGTGTGTTCCAGCAAGTCTCATAAGGCTGTGGAGAGTTGCTGAGCTGGGGGTCTCTGCCACTTTGGTTCCATAGGGCTTGGATCCTGTCCCAGGACAGAGATGACTCCTGAGACCCCTGCAGTGGAGCTGGCTCTGAAGGATAATTTAGGACCAGGAAACACTCTTGCATTATGCAGTAGGGAACGGGAAAGGTTAATCTTTCCTTCTTGTTGTATACAAATGACTTGGGATGTTTGTAGCTCACCAGTGGGATTTGATAACTTTATTATCCAAATAATAAGATTTACAAATTAACTGTCTAATTAGCAACCTGGGAAAGCTGCTGCTCGTGCTGGGGTTTCTAAACTGACAAAGACATGGGCTTAAACTGCTGAAGTGTGATGACAGCAGGAGGGTACAGCAGTGGAAAGATCTCTCAGAACTCCTCACATCCGTTGGGTGGGATGCACGTCTGGGAGCTGAGATGGGTTTAGTGACATGAGACCCTGTACCTGACTCATTCTATTGGCCCTCTTTTTGTTTTTTTGCATGGATGGAGCATTCACCTAAGCATGTGTGAAGTGTTCCAATGGATCTTTCCAAGGCTTGTGGAGCTTCCTTTGAAGCACTGGATGCAAAGCCCAGCCTGGTGCCCTCAGCAGAGAGCTCCAGTTTGTGCTGGATGCAGGGAAGTGTTCTGCTCCACTGTCCTCCAGTGGATTCTCTTTAGTCTATATTATCCTTACAATCTATATGAGAATCCTGGAATGCTTTGAATTGGAAGGGACTTTGAAGACCATCCAGTTTCACCCCCTGCCATGGGCAGGGACACCTCCCACTAGCCCAGGTTACTCCAAGCCCCCTCCAACCTGGCCTTGGACACTTCCAGGGATGGTCTTTAAGGTCCCTTCCAACCTAAACCATTCCATGATAAATTCAGCCTAGTAGCAGTCTTGTTTCTCTTGCTGAGCTGGAATTACCCCTGCTCTGCTGGGAGGCTCCTGCTGCAGCCCAGGCTCTGGCAGCAGAGCACCCTCCCGACGGCGCCGAGCTCCGGCGTGTCACAGAGTTACTGAGTTTACACACACACTTCAGGAGAAAACCTTGCTAATATGGTTCTAATTCCTTCCTTCCTGCTTCCCAGATGCTTCTGTCTCCATATACCAATGACAGAGATGGTGAGCAACGCTTTCAAGAAAATGTTTGTTTGTTTGCCTCAGAAAAGCAAGTGAGAGGTCCTGCGAGGAGAGAGCTCTTGGCAGATGTTCTGCCTTTAAAACCTTCTGGGTTTGGTTTTTTCACAATGAAAAATGTGGAAAGGGAAAGGAATTTACAGCTGGATGTAGCAGAGCACAAAGAGGGGATTGTGAGGTTCATGGCCCATGTCATGGGCCACCTTTTCCTTGTTCCTTAGGAAATGTCCTGTAGTGCTGCAACTGTTCTTGTTCATGGCTCAGTTTGGTTCCTGAGCTCTGTCTCCAAACCTCTATGCCTGCTCCTCATCTTCCAAAGAGCCTTTTATTTAGTGTAACAATGGCTCTTGGGAAAAGGATGTGGCAGATGAGACCCCTGAGGCAGAGCAGAGTGTGGTGCCCAGGCTTCCCCTCAGAATCAGTGCTTGTTCCCTTTGCTCCATTCCTGCCTGGGCTCCCTTTGGGCACGGTGGTGCTCCTGCGAGCTGGGGTCCATCCCTAGGGATGGGGCACAGTGTGGATGTGGTGCAGAGTGTGGGTGCACCCAGGCAGGAGCTGGCGCTCAGGAGGATGTGACGTGGGGTGTGAGGTGGTGCCTGTTCCCCAGACCTGGCACATCCCAGCTCCTCAAAGCAGTGCTGCCACCTCCAGCTGCAGGGTGGGGTGGGCTGAGACCCTCGAAAAAGATCTGGGCCATCAGCTGAAGTTCCCTGCAGTGCCAAACAGCTCTTCAAGGTCTGTTACTGAAGGTGATGTGCTTATTTGTCACTTAGGGAAAACATTAGCTTTGAAGTATGGTGCTTTGACTGCAAAAACTACAGAAATAGTGCTGGCAGCTTTGCCTTGGCATGTGCTGGAAGGGTTTGGTAGTTTAGGGGATGGGGACTTAGCTCTGGATACTTCTGCTTGGAAGTCTGGGTAGTGGCGAGTCGGGATTGATTTCCCTGTGCTGTTCCCAGAAGGGCGACTGTCGTCGACGTGCGTGAGGGGAGGAAGACTTGCGTGTCTTCTGGTCTGGCAAACGGAGGCTGGGGAGATGCTGAAGAAAAGCAGAGTTGTGGGAGGAAAATTGCCCACCTGTTCCCTCAGTACAATCTTCCATTTTTGGACACATGCACTTTTCAGCTCAGATACCCGCGAACGCCAGATTCTCCCTCTTTTTATTCCCGGCGGTGACCTCAGCGTGTGCCACGAGTGACAATGAGCTCAGAGGAACAGAAGGGTTCCCAGCCCTCCTCTGACATTTGCTCAACACTTTGTTCTACTGACTTTTACTAATAGCCTGGTCTGGTCAGTGATGTTCAATAAGGGTTGAAACTCTGCCGCGGCTTAAAAAGCCTGCTCAGGCTGTGGGGCCTCTGCTCACGAATCAGATATAGCTGCATTTTATTCTGTTAACTCTCTGTTCCCCTGGTGCTGATCCTGTAACATGCTCCTCACCCCGTCCCTGTCTTCTCTTTCCAGTTTGCTGCTTCGTCGTGCACAAGCGGTGCCATGAGTTCGTCACCTTCTCCTGCCCTGGCGCTGACAAAGGCCCTGCCTCTGATGTAAGTACAGCTCTGATGCCCCAGCTGTGGGCACAGCATGGTGCTCAGGGGCTCACTGTGGTTCACAGCCCTTTGGAGAAGACGTTCCTCCTTGCTTGAGGGCACTTCTGTGCCATTATTTCACAGGCATCTCTGATTCATGGAGTAGTTTAGGTTGGAACCTCTAAGATCGAGTCCAACTGTTCCCTCAACAGTGCCAAGGCCACCACTAACCCATGTCCCCAAATGCCACATCAGCACAGCTTTTAAATCACTCCAGGGACGGTGATTCCTTAGTTATGGGGACTCTCATGTTTCTGGGACTTAAAACACTTAAGCCACCCAATAACTGGCTCTCAGCAGAGCAGGGAGGATGTGTGGGGATGCAGAGAGTTCCCTTTGGGGCTGACCCCACAGCCTTGCCCCAGTGTCCTTTCATCTCTTGCATCAGAAAACCATCCAAATGCCTGCCATCTAAGTCCCCACCCTTATTTCCACAAGGATTTTCTTTCCCAGTGGATCTTTTGGGGTGAGTGGGAGCCGGGGCAGCAGAGCTGGGCTCTGCCAGCACCATTCAGGTCCGTCTGGCAGGTTTTGTGCTTTACCGTGGAAACTGGCTAATTTGGGGAACTGCTGGGAGAAAAGAGCTCGAATTGGGGAAACGACAGAGCACCACAACTCTCACCCTTAAAAATAGAAGTGGTGGGAGCAGGAGGTGTAACAGGCTGCGGAAGGTGGAGGCTAAACACATGTTGTTGGTCGCCCTCCCAAATCGAGGCTTTGTGCCATGGTGGGCAGAGATTGGGGCCTGCAGGGGTGAGGCTCCTGGGGCCGTCAGCAGTGGGTGGGCTTGTCCTGGGCCCGGGTGAGGTCGAACCCTCTGCCTGAGCCGTGGCAGCCTCTGCTCACACAGCCCCCGGAGCAGCTGCGGCACCCACGGCCCTTCCTGCGCCGGGACAGCACACCAGGAGGTGACAGTGGCACTGCTGGCACCCACAGGACAAAAGCCCCTGAGGACAAGGAGGGACTACCAGTGGAGGTGTGGGCAGGAGCTGCTGCCTTCTTGGAGTGGGGCCAAGGGCGAGGCTTGGCTGGAACACAAGCCCTGCTCTTCCATCCCTGGGTGCCCGGGCACAGCCAGGGTCCATACAGGAGGGCACTGGGTGTGTGTGTGTGCATACCCAGTGTACCTGCACGGTGTTTGTCCCAGAGCCCTGGCCCAGAGCAGGTCACTCGAGGGGATGGAGCTGCAGGAGAGGGAAGTGATGGCCTTAGACCACTCAAATTCCTGCCTCTGCTTTTTTTCTGGGAAGTTTTGCTCCCTGCCTCTGCTGCTGCCCCTCTGCAGTGGGTGCCTGCTGAAATAGGGCAAGGACAGGTGGAGAAGGCATGGAGAAATGAGGGGAGAGTGGTGGAGGGGGATCCCTTCCCTGAGGGTTGAGCCTGGCCACCCAGGCAGCACAGGGGTCTGTGTCCTCTGGGCAGTGCCAGTGTTGGGCTGTGGGTGCCACTGGTGTGTGCTGGGCTCCCTCCAGGGAGCCCTCAGTGCTGGAGGTTTACAGACCCTTGCTGTGACATGATGTGACACTGCGAAGTTCCCTCTGGCCATGTGGCTGCAGCTCTGACACTCACACTTTCTCTCCGTTCCCTGTCATGTAAAACACACCAAGGCAGCAGCAGCAAGCCCCGCGGGTCCATCTCACACCCTGCCAACCTGCCTGGGGCTGGGGGGGGTGCCACCTCTGCAAAATATCTGCTCTGGTCGGTGCTTGGATATTTGTGCGTGCTGAGATGGAATCTTGCTGCTAAGGCTGCTTTAGGTGCAGTGTGATGGAGAAGGAGCTGGAGCCTGAGCAGAGCCCTGGCTCCCACCCCAGCTGTGGGCACCCAGGGGGTGACAGCAGCGGGTGAGGGGGGCACCAGCCCCGCAGCTGTGAGGGGCCCTGGGAGCAGCTGGGTGGGTGCCCAGGGCACTCTGGTGCCAAGAGAGATGGAAAGGCTGAAAGCACTTAGCCCTGCTGAAGGAAGATGAGGTTTGGCAGTGGAGAGCAGGGCTGGGATCCAGCTGCCACCTCTGGAGCAGCGCTGGCAGCTGGCACTGCCCGGCACTGCCTGGGCAGCTGGAGAGCAGTGTGAGCCCACGGGACGGGCAGTGTGAGCCCACGGGATGGGCAGTGTGAGCCCACGGGACGGGCAGTGTGAGCCCACAGGACAGGTAGCAGGACAGGGGACACTCCTCCCGTCCCTGTGGAGCTGTGGCTGATGGGGGACACGATGCTTTGCTGTCCCTCCCCAGCAGCCCTGCCCAGGCTGAGCACACAAGGAGCAGGAGGAGCCCTCGGGCAGCTGGTCCCAGCTGGTCTCTCCAGCAGCTCTGGATGACTGTGGGCAGCCTCTGCCTGGGAAGGGAAAGGTCTAATTTAAATCCAAGTTGTCACATTTTAAGAGGCCCCACGATACCAGGGCAGGTGTAAAGGCCCTTGGTCACGTTCCCTGTTGCTTGCTGTTATCCCTGGATGAGCATTGCCACCATGGCACAGCCCTCAGACAGGTAACAGCTGCCCAGTGCTGTTAGTGAATCTCTTATTACATCATTTCTGAAAATGAAGAGGGATGCAGGTGCTTGGGACTAAAGCAGGGAGAAAATGGTGCTTTCATAGCTTTTTTTTTTTTTTACTATTTTAGCAAAGCCCCCCAGAACCCCTCTGGTCTGTGCCCTTGCCCCTCTGTCACTGGGGGATGAATGCAGGACAAAATTCCTTCCTCCTGCACAGTCAGTCATGCTCGTACAGCAATATCGTTATATTTATAATATATAATATTTATAATTACATAATCATATAATCCTTAAGGAGCTTTGAATCAGGAGAGGGAGAACTACAGCACACAGCAATGCCCTGTCAGCTTTAGAATGAGCCAGGGACTGGGGCTTTGCTTTGAACTGATGGAAAGCTGGACTTTCCCCGTGCCCTGTGGTTGCTGAGAACCGTGGTGTGAATCCAGAGACACCTGTGCTGGTGTCAGATCTGGTGCCACCAGGCCGTGCTGGTTACAGTGATGTGTTTTTTCAGTTGGTGCCTCAAGCTGGTAACTTTTCCCCAGATATGAGTCTCCAAAGAATCCAGCAGAAATAAGGAGCTTAATTTATTGCATGTGTTAAACCTCGCAGTGGGTTCATCCTCACGGTGGGCCCCGTGGTTGTGCTGAGCTGGAGAGGGAAGGGAGCCGTGCAGTGAACTGGCATCCAGGGCTCAGCAGTGCAGGGCTGGGGCTCCTGCTGCCAGCTGCCTGCTGGTTTGCAGCCCAGAGTTGCTCTTTCCTCTGGCCTGGTCCTGGAGCCCAGGGAAAAAAATATGTTAAAAAAATATCTTCTAACTTTGCTCCTTGATCTCTGTGTCTTCATAGTTACTGGAGAATCAAGGAGAAAACCTTTTGTCCCTGTACAGTGCTTATCCTCTATCTGAACATTTAAACACCTGTGTAATTCTAATTACTGAAATAAAACTCCTCAGTCTGAAGTTCAGGATGTGCTGAAGTGCTGTGGGGGATGCAGGCTGGTGCATGCAGAGATGACCTGGGGTGAGCTGGTGTTTCACACTTGGGGAGCAGAGCAGAATCCCTGGAGACCACTGAAATGTCAGAGTTTGTCTAGTGTTGGCTGAACAGGCTTTGGGTTGTTTCTTTTTGATCTGGTTGTGTTTGAACCTCCTTGAAGAGAGCGGGAGCGTGGTTGTGTGTTTAACCTTGCCAAGCCTGCTGAGTAGGAGCCTTGCATCTAGGAGAGAGGACTAATTACACATGATAGGGCCTCTAAGTAGAAAAAAGATGTAAGATTAATTGCCTCTTGCAGCAGAGGATGGGGCTGTAGCTGCAGATGTTGGTGCTGCAGACATCAGGCTGCATTCATGCTACACTGGCCAGGGCAGGACTTCTGTTCCGTGTGAAGGTGCTGCCAGGCTGTGGTCTCTCCCCAGCATTCCCCAAGTGAGAACTGGTGAGGTGCTTCAGAGGGGCTGGCAGCCCAAAGCCCTGCCTCCTCTGTCCAGTTCTGCTGTTCCTCATTCCCAGCTCTGGCACTCCTGTGTCTCCTCTTGGCAGGAGGCAGAGCTGCCATGACCACTCTGACCCACAGCCAGGTCTCCAGGAGCTGAAGTCAGGCATGTGTAATGTATTCCAGTTGGCAAACCTAATTATAGCCAGAGCTATTAGTAGAATGCATAATTATTTAAATTGTAGACAAAATAATCATTAAAATGACCTTCTTTGCATGATCCTGTTAAAGGTCATCTAATCAGGATGCATTAATGAATATCAGAGTTGCTCTCTGAAGGTAACAGGCCAGTGTAGCTACATTTCAGTTTTGCTTGTAGTTTGTCCCCTTTTGCAGCATGGGGAGAGGATTTCAGGAGGAATTTCTTCATGGAAGGCATTCCATGATGTGCCCATCGAGTCAGGACCTTCCTGGTGACTCCAAGCACCCTCTTGCCCCTGCACTGCCTCAGAGCACAGCATCTGATCCCTCCTCACATCTCACATTCCTCTGGGCTTCACTGTCCAGTGCTCTGGCAAATCTTCACAACCTTCCTGCAACTTTCTGCTTGCTTTTGTGCTGCTAATTAACTTCTCCAGCTCTCGTGCTGTGCCATCTGCCCCTCGAGGGCGGGCACCTGCTCGCTGCTCCAGCAGCCAGTGACAGTTCCCATGGGATGAAGATGTATCTGCCTTGCTCCCTCCCAGCACCTTCTGGTGCTTCCCTGGCTCTGCCACAGCCCGACTCTTTCTCCTGCCAGCCTGCACACGGCTTCAGCCCTGGCATTGGAAAGCTCTTCTCGTGTTGTCTCGGCGTGTTTGTGCCTGGTTACTCCAGGTCGGACACAGCTGCTGGTTAAAGGAGAGGCTGGAGCAGATGGCTGGGTCTGTGCCCTCCCTGTGGCTCCAGAGTACCAGGGCTGGGTCTGAGGTGGGTTTGTGCCCTCCTCAGGAGGGTGATGAGGTGGGTGGTGCAGCCTGTGCTCGAGGTGGCACCAGCTGGGGATGCTGCAGGCAGGAGGTGTTTCAGGGATCTCTTTGCTGTTCCAGCACCCAGAGGCTGCAGGGAAAGTGCTGTGGGAGCCCCACTCTCATGGAGGTGTAATAAAATGACTCTCGAGGCATGTGCAAGATACCAGACATGTCTAAAGGATGTCGAGATGCAAGTGCTGCTCTGGGAGAGAAGCTGAGTTTGGCTTTTTGGTTTTTTTTGCTGCTTGGCAAGAGAAAGCGTTTTATTCAGTGTTGTCAGCAGCAAGAGGAGAACAACTGTCGTCCATATCCCACTGCAGTTGTCTGACGAGAGGATGAGATCTTTTGTCAATAAAAATGTATTTACTTGCTGGAAGCTGTCAGGGGCAGGTTCTGTTTGACATGGAAGCAGCCCCTGCCGTGGTGCCTGTGCCCACAGCCGTGTCCGTGCTGCTCTGCTGGCTCTTCCCCAGGAGCTGCCTCCATCCTGCTGCCAGGATCCTGCTGCCTGCACAGCCGTGCCCCCAGGCCCTGTGCTCTGTGAGCTTCTCTGTGGCTGGAATGCTGTAAAATACAGAAAAATAGTTCTGGTGTCACTTACTGGTGCAGCAGCGTCCAACTGCCTCTGAGCTGTGGCACACTGAGGCAGCTTCCGAGGAGATGTGGTGGTAGAAAAGATGCTCCAGAATCCTGGAATCACAGACTGGTTTGGGTTGGAAGGGACCATCTAGTTTCATCCCTCTGCCATGGGCAAGGACACCTGACAGAGCCCCAAATCTTTGCTGTCTTACCTTGAATAGGACCTGTGTTTTCCTCCTGCCTGTAACCTCCTTTCCATGGAGTCTCTGGTTTATTGTGGCTCTTCCCACTGAAACAAAGACCCAGCACTCTTGTGCCCTTGTTCCTGAACTTCCTTGCTTGTTTTTTTGCTGGGACTTGAGCTATTTCTCACCAAAGGTGTTTTTCCAGCCCTGTGCAGGCCGGTGGGGGGATGCAGGAGGTGCATCCCCAGGGCAGCAGCCCCCAGACAGGATGGGCCAGTGCTGCTGGAGCCCGGGCTCCCTGTCTCTGGTGGGTGCCATTGTCTCTGTTACATCTTCCCCTACCCCATCTTGGCATCCCAGAGAACAGCTGGCACAGTGGCAGGATGCCACCTGGAGCCCTCACATTCACATCCCTGACCTCTTGTAATCCAGTCTTTCCCTGGAAGGGATGACAGGCCACCTTTGCCTGCTGTGATTTGTTCCCTGCATGCCGGGGGGATTTTCCACATGGGAGTCATGGGAAACAAGTGTGAGGTTTTGGGTTTATGTCCCCTGCCCAGGCTTATTGAGCACATGCTGTAAGCTCTGACTGTGTTGTATTTGCTAGTATGCTGCTTAAATTGCTATGAAATTCACTTTTAAATGGTCTCTTCATGGGAACTGTGTTAATTCTTCTTTGGGAGAGATAATTTAGAGCTTTCTCTGCAATGAGACAGGGAAAGCAGCCACCTGTGATCTTGTTGCAAAGCTGTGTTCTGTCAAATCCAGCAAATGTCAGTACAGAGGATTCAAACAAGCCATCAGTGTGGGTCTGGCTGCCCCTTCCCAGGGCTCCACTGAAGGAGAAGTGGAGGCCTGGGAAGTTATTTCATAGAATCATAGATAGCTTTGTGTTGGATGGGACCCTAAAGGTCATTCAGTTCCACTGCCCTGCCAGGGTCAGGGACACCTTCCACTAGCCCAGGTTGCCCCAAACCTCGTCCAACCTGGCCAGGGATGGGTTCTGCCACCTCTGCAGGGTTGATGCCTGCAGGGCACCAGGTCAAAGCCAGCAGCATCTCCTCTCCTTCCCTGGCTCCTGTCCTGGCTCCTGCCCCAGGCTCAGACCCCTCTGAGGCAGCACTGGCTGGGAAGGGCAGAGTCTTGCCGTGCACTGACATTCTCCAAATGGCATTTTCCAGCTCTGCTCCAAAGAAAGCTGTTCCTGCCCTGTTCTTCAGGCCGGCTCTGTGCTGCTGGGGGAGGAGAAGTGCTTTTTCTTTTCTTGGCAAACTTCTTTTTAACCATTCTTGTTTTAAGTCTCAGCATCTGCATGCGCAGTGTTCTCGTCATCCTTGTCTCGGTGGTACAAAAATAGTCTCTTTGTACAGCCTTGGTCAAAAATGATATCCAGAATTGCCAGTTTCTGGCACTTTCTAAGGCACTGGTCAAGGTGACACGGGCCCCACACATCCCAGCAGCCAAAAAACTGGCTCTGCCTCCCTGTTCCTGACTGCTCCATCACCCTCACACCCCTTGGGCTCTGCCCCTCTGTGTGTGGGTCTCTGCAGAACAGCCCCTTGGGCATGTGGGAGCAGAAGGTGAAGCCTGAAGTGTTCCCATGAGGGATTTAGTCCCTCCCATAGGGCTGTGGTGCTGGGTTTGGGGAGCTCAGTATGCTTCAACACACACTTTGCTTTCCCAGCTCTGCCTTCTTTAACTCTGGGTTCCAGTGGGAATTTCACATCCTTCGCATGAAGTGGGAATTGTCTCCTTTTGCATAAAGCTTGTGTTTTTTATGAATGACTAAAGCTTTCATTTGCCTAAACAGGAATATGTGTTTCTAGAAGGGAACACAGAAGCTGGAGTGCCTGGGGGCGATTCCTCCCCGTGTCACACACTGGCAC